TGATTGGGGTTCTCAGCTAGGATTGGTCAGTGATTGGGGTTTGTGACCCCCCCAATGATAAAATTAGCAAGGGACGCGGTGGCTGAGTGGCTAAGACGCTGAGCTTGTCGATCGAAAGGTTGGCAGTTCAGCGGTTCGAATCCCTAGTGCCGCGTAACGGGGTGAGCTCCCGTGACTTGTCCCGGCTTCTGCCAACCTAGCAGTTCGAAAGCACGTTAAAAAATGCAAGTAGAAAAATAGGGACCACCTTTGGTGGGAAGGGAACAGCGTTCCGTGCGCCTTTGGCGTTGAGTCATGCCGGCCACACGACCATGGAGACGTCTTCGGACAGCGCTGGCTCTTCGGCTTTGAAACGGAGATGAGCACCGCCCCATAGAGTCAAGAACAACTAGCACCTATGTGTGAGGGGAACCTTTACCTTTACCTAAGAGATGGTATGGTTAGGAAAGGCCCTTGTATGACAAAACCTCCATCCTACTGATGCTAGATCTGCAGGAACCAAATTCTCATTTGTCCCAGTCTGGCTAAGAAAACATGACTACGGTACAAGTAGGCTTGATGATGGTTTTGAATGATTGAAGACGACGACTTCTGCTGCTGTCGTTCAGCTTCACGCCGACCAGGTTCGGACTGAACTCCTAAGCAGCTGTTTTGGAAAAAGAGACGCAGCACGGCTGACCGGAGCCAGGGAAACGGGGAGGCTGGGGGAACCCACGGAAAAGACAGCACAAAGCCAAGCTATTCTGCGCCCTCTCCTGGGAAGCTGCCCTGTCCCACATCTGCAGGACATCTGCCCAAGGGAGCCAAGGTAGAATTGCCAGGGCGGAGAGGAAGATGACAAGGCTTCAGTTGTGTCACGAGGCAACGAGAGAACTTGGCGATCTTTTGGGTTCGGCCCCAGACGCGAACTGTGTGTCCCCAGTTCCTCTCCCCGCCTGGCCCGCCCCGCTAGCAAGAGGAAGAGGAGCAACAGCTGTGGTTTTCTTATCTCATGAAAGGGATAGGGGGCTTCTAGACAGCAGAGAGAACTAGGAAGGCAGTTGTCTCTCCAGGCGGCCTACATGACACACCTGTGCAGGGTAGGCCGCCCTTCAACTTGCAACAGAGATTGTCCGGGGAATGTGGGGTGCCATGTGGATAAAGGAGGGGGGAGGGGGTATCTCCAAAAGGCACCCACAGCTGAGCTCAGGTTTTGGGGAAGCTGGCAGTTTGGACAATGTACCATCTCAGCTGCCGGGCTTTTCATGAAGGTCCTTTCATCAAGCCAGGCGCCAATCTAAGCAGCTGCACCGCCTTGGCAAGAGGCCCCACCCCCACCGTCACAAAAGGAGCACAGTGATAAGGGTGGTGGGAAGGGAGTGTGTGTGTGGGGGGGGGAAGGAACGTCTCAGCAGCTGGAAGGGAGACTTGAGGAGAGGTTCAGCCATTGAGGGACGGACAAATACTTCGGGTTGGAGAAGTTCTCTCCTGGGTCCACCTACGGAAACGAAGAGATTGCATCGGACTGCTGATAGGAAGGCCTACGGGAGATTTACAAAATGACAAGCTCTCTAGATCAGGGGTGTCAAGCTTGATTTCTTTGAGGGCCACATCAGGGTTGTTTGACCCCGCGAAGGCGTGGTCGGCTCAACATCACTCATCTAGGCTCCGTTTCCGGGCATGACGGCCTCCTGCAACCCTCTGTTTTCACCGGCAGAGGGCTGCAGGAGGTCGTCATGGCTGGAAACGGAGCCCTGGAGGCATGTGTGTGGTCCTCCCGAGCTCCATTTTCACTGGCAGAGGCACTTCGGGCCAGTCCTTTGCGGCTTCCAGGAAGGGCCCACGGGACAGATCTAAGCACCCTGTGAGCCTGATTTGGCCCACGGGCCTTGAGTTTGACACCCCCGCTGTTGATGCTTGGGATTATACAGCTCCCGATTTCTTGCCATCAGTCAGCCTCGTTGATGGGAAGCACCGGGTTCTAGATCAGCTTTCCAGAGACAAAAGAGATGGACCGGCTCCCAGAACACCAAACAAGCTGGGTCATATCGTAGCTGGAATATGGATGGAGTTGTTTTTCCATATATCCCGGAGGTTCTCGTTTTGGCAAGAGCTGCATTCGAACTTTGCAGTGGAGGTGGGTTAGCCAGAAGGGGAAAGGTGCAACATTGGGGCAGGTTATCGAAAGAGCTACGGAGTATTTTCTAATTGATGGATTGATTGAGATTGATGGCCAAAAGGGAATATTATGAGGACGGAGTGGGGTGTAAACCAAGATGAAATCTAGCAGTGGCTGTTTGTCATCACTCTTAAGGTAGGCTGGAGAATATTAGACCACTGTAACTTGCAACATAGAGACAGGACGATGGTATTTTCTTCATTCGGCATCTCCTGAAGGAATTTCGGGAATCAACTGTGTGTAAATCCAGAATGAAGGTTGCCCATTTTCGTTCGTAACCTTCTCTAGAACTGCAGAGCTTAATCAGAATTCTTCATACCAGTGTTGTTGCCCACCAGCAGATCTGGCAGCATTCGGACAGTGAGGAGGTTGGGGAGGAACATGGGCCAGTCCTGGAGTCTGGGGAAGGCTCTGACGAGTGCTCTGCATCGGAGGCAGAGAGGGGGCCAGGGCCGGATGCCACTTATCAGCTGCCTTCGGAGTCGGACATCAGTGGGGCAGAAGAACAGCTACATCCTGTTCCCAGCGTGCGCATGGACAGAGCTGCCAGGAGAAGGGAACAGCTAAGGAACAAGGGTCGACTCAGGAGTAAAGCCACAGGTGGACGGTGAATGGCCCCTCCCATAGGGAATAAAGAGGAGCGAAGGGGAGGGGAGTTTGCAGGAGACAATCAGTTCATTTGGGTGAAGATCTGTTCCTACGTTCTTGACAAGTATTGTGGCGTCTGAAAGATATCGGCCTGGCCACTCGGTAATTGTGAACTATCTTAAAAGACTGTGGGAGAGGAAAGACTTTCCTGAGGAGGAATTCATTGTAAATTAAAGGGGTTTATCGAGACGAGGACTCGGCTTTGTACTGCTGTGGAAGTCTAGGTCAGAATCAGGTGCATATAAATTTGATAAATTAACACATTGATTGTGGCCACTTCAGAAAAGGCACCGTTACATTTCTTTTGCCAGACACGACCATCTTGTGCTAAAAATCTGCTTGTTAACTGGTCTCTGATGTGTTCGGCTAGCTAGCCCATTAAACTGTGCATCCATTCCCCATAATGCACACCCTCAGTCTGATGTGAGGTGCCATCTTGTTCCTATTGTTTCCGCTCCTATGAAGGATTGCTTGTGGTTTTCACTTATCACGGAAGCAGAATGGGAATCGACCTTCAGCCACTCCAAATCCCTGTTCTCCCAAAAGTTTGCATAAAGCCCAGGTCAGAAAAAACCCTGTTTCATCTATGAGCGTGACTACATGGCTCTGAAGGAGACGGCTGCCTAAAAATTAAGTTTCTGCACAATTCTATATAAAAAGAGCCATTTCCCATGTTTTGGAGGAGCCCGCTGGGAGCTACTGTATGTTGTTGCCATCTTAATCGGAACAGATTATTTTTCTAGGTCTCTTAGATGCTTCTAGCAGCTGCAGGCTCGGTGTTGTCTTTGCAGTCCTTGAACCTTTGCTGGATACTCCTCTGAGACAGAGCCTCTCTTCCTGTTTTGTGGCTGATCTCTCTTTTTAAAGGCAGCAGCCCAAGTCAAGACTGAATTCAAAAATTCCCCTGCATTTTATTCAGCTTGGGTGTTATAGTGAGTTTCGGTCAGCTGTGCTTGCCTGCAGAAAGCCTCCTTGTCAAAGGGATTTTGTTGGGAAATAGCTTGAAGATGAAAGGAGTGTGTGTGTGTGTTTATGGAATTCATTGTGTACTGGAAGACTGCCCACCCTTCCTTATTAAAGTTCTTTAGGTCTAACACAATGATCTATGCAACAATTCAACAACCCATTGCATTTGGCCTGAAGTGACACCACCCAAGGCAGGACCCTCAAGCTTGATTCAAATACATCCAACCACCTGTCAGCTGAGAACGGGGCTGCCTGAACTCTGGGGTGGGAGGAACTTTCGAACGAAAACCTTGGTTTACATGACACGCAGAATTTACCACCTGCATTTCAGCAAATCTGGACTGTGTAAGTGAACGGTTCGATGCATTGTGCCAAACCAGAAAACTCAGTTAATCAAATAAAACATGGTTAGCTCAACCATGGGTGAACACAGAATAGAATAACAGAGTTGGAAGGGACCTTGGAGGTCTTCTAGTCCAACCCCCTGCTTAGGCAGGTAACCCTATAGCGTTTCAGACAAATGGCTGTCCAATCTCTTCTTAAAAACCTTCCAGTGACAGTCCTAAATTCACTGATATTAATATGGAATACACTATTATTTTTTTTGTAAAAAAATTAACACCAGATACAGCTTACCAAACCAAGAATGTATTTTTGCCCCTATCTCTTTCCAAAATTCTCTTTTCTGATGGCTATTATTGAAGCAAAGGTAGCTTTTCAGGCTTTTGAGATTATTTTCCTTCCCTATTTCTGTTAGGTTCAGGGGCTGATTGCGTGGTTTCCCTTCAGTCCAGAGACTAAAGAAGCGTAACGTACAATTTTAGCTTCCAGCTTTTTATATACCAGGGCACGGATCAAAAACCAGCAAGATAAAATACCTCCCTTCCCACAGCTTAAGATGAAGAACACGGTCAGCTCCAGATGAAGCGTGCAAATTGTGGTCATGTGTCAGCGGCCAAATTTAGGAAGACTTCCAAATAGCATAAATGCAAAGTAGGAGGCGAGCCACAAACTGGTGTCCTGGTCGGCAATACCCCCTCCTGCTGTCAGAAAAATGCATTTCTCCAATTAGACAAACAATTCCTATTATACTTTTGGAGCTAAATTTTCTCCTCCTTCCAAGAGAGGCACCAGCCAAATTGCTCTAATGTGATTCTCTTACCAGCTCCAGCACATTCCTCCAAGAGGAACAGTGGTTATATCAAAATGAACCCATCCATACTACAAATAAAACTTGTTCCATGAACCATTATATTTTTGGGGTTTTTAAGGTTTTTTTTTTTATATATTTATAAAATATTTATAAACAACAAGGTTAGAAACCTTAACAGTACAGTGGCTATTTTCATTATATAAAAGAGAAAAATACGAATATGTTCTACACTGACATACTCTACAAGGGACACATGTCTCTAAAACTCCGGCTTCAGCTCTGGCCCATCCGTCTGTGCTGCTTGCTCTACACCTACCGGAGACCCAGAGGACACAGTAACCATGTTCCTTTCTGATTTCACCCAGATGCTGGAGCTGGGCTCGTCAATCTCCTCTGGTAATGAGATCCTCGATGTAAGCATCCAGTTCATCATCTGAATTGAAATCAATATCCTAAAACAGCAGGAAAAAACGTTACTTCATATAACGTCCCTCTTAGGAGCAAAACACTCAAGCAGTCATCTTCATTTAATGACCCCATAATCCCTTGCGGGATGGGGTCTGGGCAGCTGAATGGAGCTGAGTGCTTACTGGCCGGATGCCCTTCTTGTTGCCAGTGTGGAGTTTTGTTCAGCAGATATATTCTCATTGTGCCCAGAGAGAGAAATATCTGCCTCTACCTAGGATCGAACTCACAGCCTTCTGATTGTGAGGCGGGAGCTCCACCTCTAGGCCACCGCACCACTCAAGCAGTGACCCTTAGTAATTACGAAGAACACAGTAGAGAATTTGGCAGACAACAACGCCCTGAGAATCTAAGCTGAGATTTGTTAACAGGAGTTCAACAGTTGCTCATTTCCGATGTTTAAGGCTGTAATTCTCGTCACTCCTGATTACTAGAATCGTCTCAAAGAAAAGGCGATTCAAAGCAGCTTATTGGCTGTGATCCGTGTGCAAAACCTTTTGCTGGTCTTTGACCATAATAAAGATTTGATTTGAGAGTTCAGGGAAGGGTCAGTTTTGCACCTCTTGAGAAAGAGCTCAAAACCAGAGATAATCCAGGTTCTAACTTACTTCTTGTACTTTCTTCAGTAGAGCAACGATGTTCGTCCTCAGTTTCTGAAGCTTGTCGTTTGTCTCTCTGACCTTCTGCTCCAGGATGTGAACTTTCTCCTCGCAGGCTTGGATCTGACCATTTGCACGGGTCTGATAGGAGTTGCACAAGTTCTGCAGGCCCACCTCGTACTGCTTAAAATACTCTTTCTGTGGAAAGGGAGGCATGGAGGAGAACATCCCACGGGTTACAAGGAAACAAGGCGAAAGGACTTCCATTTGCTCCAAGCAAGAAGAGAAAGACACTCATTACTGTACTTCCAGTCAAAGTCGCCCTGATTATTATCACATAATACTGAGCAACAGGTTAAGATTATGTCGTGTTTTGGGTAGAGGAGGGATGTTTATAATTTAATTACCGTATTTTTCGGAGTATAAGACGCACTTTTTTCCCTCCTAAAAGAGGCTGAAAATGTGGGTGCATCTTATACTCCGAATGTAGCTTTTTCGAAGCTTTTTTTCAGACCTAACGAGGCACTAGCGAGTGAAGTGATCTCCGTGCTAAGCTTTTTTTCAGTAAAGTGATCTTCCATGCTTTGCCTGCTCCCTCCGACTCAGCTGTGAAGTTTTTTTTCAGCCCTAATGAGGAGGCGCTAGCAAGGAAACTGATCTCCGTGCTTTGCCTGCTTTTCTCATTGCTTCTCTCTCCAAAGATCAGCTGTGCTTTAGAAGCTGTTTTTTATCCCCAAACAGGGGATAAAAACCAGCAAACTAATGTGCTGAAGCTGACCAGACTAAGGATGCTAGTCAGATACCTGGTCTGACTAGCATCCAATACCTGGTAGGTACCAGGTAAAATCTGGTAGGCAGATTTCCCCCCCCCCTATTTTCCTCCCCAAAAACTAAGCTGTGTCTTATACTCCGGTGCGTCTTATACTCTGAAAAATACGGTACCTTCTCTAAATAACCAATGAATTGTAATGCAGGGACTCAAATTCTAACTTCTTTTTGCTATTTTGCTCCTATTTTAGGAACACATTTCACAAATATTAAAGGAGATGGCAATGGATGCAATACCAAACTTCTGATTCCAAAAAACTACATCTCATTAAAAAAACACCCTTAAGAATATATCTGGGGAAGTAAGTGAGAATTTTATCAGCTGGACAGAGGACTCACCAAAGGGAATGCCACTAACTCTTGTGAGCTCATGGAAGTCAAATCCTTCTTGGAGATGGGGAAATTGGGGGGGCAAGAAATAACGCAAGCAATTCCTACGGAAGCAAAGAGAAGACAGGCAAATTACATAGCAGAACATCATTTGCAGTTAACAACACACGAAAAAAAGCATAGAAAATGATACTGGGTATAGAATTCAAAGATGGACATTTAGCTCTTCTTCCTTTTCATGTTTTTAGACATATTGTGCAAAAGCCCAGCTTTATTGACAAGCCTTTCATGCTGGGAAAAGACGGAACGAGAAGGGGACAATCCAGCAAGGTAGATAGATTCTATTAATTAGCATTCAGTGGCGAAGGATGTGCCGTTGGAAGGCCAAGTTGGGGAAAGGCTAGGTATCTTTTGAGAGGGTCCATTTATGCGATTGCCGAGTTGACATCAACTTGATGGCACCTAATCAGTCAATCAATCCAAATATGCATTCAGTGTGTTTAGTGAGGGGTCCTTGATGTTCTCTGAACTTGGCCATTTCATAACCCAACTAGGTAAAATCATCAGTAAGGAGTGCTGTTTGCTGTTTATATATTCTGGTGTCTTGCCTGTCAGCGTTGGCAGGAGTGATCTTAAGAGATTCTTTGGTTGGCCTGTTTGCTGTTGGCTTCTTTGGCAGTTTCTTGATGGGGGCGTCAACCCTGAGCTACAAATATTCTCCTTTATTAATGTGACTTGCTCTTTTCCGTGAGCAGAATAAATTGCAAAAGTTGAAGGAATTGGCCGATCGAAATGACCGCAACATTAAATGGTAATACACCCCCGCCAACCTCTGTTCCCAAAATGAAATCGTAAAGGCTGCTTAGTTTATTCAGAAAACGCAAAATGAGAATAGAATAGAATAACAGAGTTTGGAAGGGACCTTGGAGGTCTTCTAGTCCAACCCCCTGCTTAGGCAGGAAACCCCACACCACTTCAGACAAATGGTTTATCCAAAATCTTCTTTAAAACTTCCAGTGTTGGAGCATTCACAATTTCTGGAGGCAAGTTGTTAAACTGATTAATTGTTCTAATTGTCAGGAAATTTCTCTTTAGTTCTAGGTTGCTTCTCTCCTTGATTAGTTTCCACCCGTTGCTTCTTGTCCTGCCCTCAGGGGCTTTGGAGAATAGCTTGACTCCCTCTTCTTTGTGGCAGCCCCTGAGATACTGGAAGACTGCTATCATGTCTCCCCTGGTCCTTCTCTTCATCAAACTAGACATACCCAGTTCCTGCAACCGTTCTTCATATGTTTTAGCATCCAATCCTCCCCTAATCCTCTTTGTGGCTCTTCTCTGCACTCTTTCTAGAGTCTCCACATCTTTTTTACATCGTGGCGACCAAAACTGGATGCCGTATTCCAAGTGTGGCCTTATTACCAAGGCATTATGAAGTGGTATTAACACTTCATGTGATCTTGATTCTATCCCTCTGTTTATGCAGCCTAGAACTATGTTGGCTTAGAGATAGAGGATAACGTAGATGGCGGAAGACCAAATTATAACTACTGTGGCGAATGGTTTTGCAACACTGCACCGAACACTCACCGTAGGGATTGTGCTAAGAAGTCCGCGTTCTCTTGGCTGCTGCCGGGCCCAGTAGTATCTGGCTCTATTCGGCTATACTCGGAGGTAGAAGGTTCGGAAGGACCATTTGTCTGCTGATGCTGCTGCCCCTCCTGCTGCTGCGTATCTGGGCTTTGGTGTTCTGGAGACGGGGGCCTCATCAGCCTCACATCCTCACTGCCTCTCTCCACCCTGAATGGAGCAACAGGCACATCACAAGTCTCTGCCATTTTCAAGTCTCCCCAGTTACCGTATTTTTCAGAGTATAAGACACACTTTTCCCCCTCCTAAAAGAGGGTGAAAATTTGGGTGTGTCTTATACACCGAATGTAGCCAAAAACACGAGGCACGGAGGCGGCGATGGTCTGTGGCAATCCCTGCAGCCTGGAACAGCTGATTGGGGGTATTTCGGGAGGCTGATCCACCTGCCAATCATCTGCTGGTGCTGAATCAGGCTGCAATAATGTGCTGAAGACCTAAGCCACGCCCAGGCTCCTTGCTGTCTCCTTCCTTGTTGCTCACACACCAAATACTGTTTCAGTTTCCAAACAGCCCTCAACTCTCACATCCTGACAGGATGCTAGCCAAATGAATATTGATGGATGCTGGTAGGCAGAGGCAGAATTTTTTCTTCGTTATTTTCCTCCCCAAAAAGTAAGGTGCATCTTATACTCCGGAGCATCTTAACACTCCGAAAAATACAATAACTGCCTCGCCTTTTTTTTTCCCTGATAAAAGAGCTAAAATTATTAAAATGTGTAACACAACTTTTTAAATGTCAATATTATGTCAATTGAGTGTTTATATTTCTGTATTAGCTTCCTAGGAAATAATTTAGTAATGATGTGATGCAAAAAAAAAAAGGGGGGGGGAGTCTTTGATCTGATCCAGAATGGGTTATCTTAAATTCAAAAATTCTCAGTCTTGGACATTGTTCTTGGGTCAAAATGAAAAGGCGGATAATTCTCACCATTTACAGAGCAGAGCTCCCTCATTCTAGTTAGCAAGAGAAGAACAAAGGAAGCCAGCTCACCGAGGGCCATCTGACATGCTTCCAACAAGCTGCTTCATCGTGCAAAACTTTTAAGCGCCCCAGCCTCCCAAAGCCCCTCCCCTCCATTACTCCAGAATCTGTAGATTAAAAATTACCATCGATCTCTCGGGGTAACATCGGTTGGGACGTAGTCAAATTTCACTTTCCAACGGACCATCTGTTTGCCCACCTCGACTGCTGTAATTCGGCCCGTGTACCACTCCTTGTTCACTCGTACCTCCACGTGCTGCCCTTTGTCTGAGAGGGGCAGAAAGGGAGAGGCGGCTCAGAGACCAGCAAACAGCCCTGGCTGACAAACTGGCGGGACTCTGGCACTCTCTATGCTCTTGCATGAAATAGCAAATAGAAGTTCAAATTACACAATCTTTTTTTTTTTAATGGGATAGAACTGCTATCAGTGTCAGGGCACTTCCTTTAATGCAGTGTTTCTTAACCTTGGTCCACCCATCTTCAAGCTTCCAAGGTTGAGAAACACTGCTTTAATGTGCTATTTATGAGACTGAGATTCAAGGGGAAAGCTGGCTGGGCCTACAAGGAACTAAAATTCCGCAGCATCTGAAAAACCACAGGCTCCTCACTTAAGTCATCCTGTTAACAGAAAGAAGCGGAGAAGAGTTTTCCTGTGGTGGGTATAATCTATGCATGATTTAAGGTAAAGGTAAAGGTTCCCCTCGCACATGTGCTAGTTGTTCCCGACTCTAGGGGGCGCTGCTCATCTCCGTTTCAAAGCCGAAGAGCCAGCGCTGTTCGAAGACATCTCCGTGGTCCTGTGGCTGGCATGACTCAACGCCAAAGGCGCACGGAACGCTGTTCCCTTCCCACCAAAGGTGGTCCCTATTTTTTCTACTTGCATTTTTTACCTGCTTTCAAACTGCTAGGTTGGGACAAGTCACAGGAGCTCACCCCATTACGCGGCACTAGGGATTCGAACCGCTGAACTGCAGACTTTTCGATCGACAAGCTCAGCGTCTTAGCCACTGAGCCAGCATGTCCACAATTTACCTCTCTTTAAAAACAATTGCAAGAGGCCAAGCCCAAGTACCTTTCTGTGCTCTTTTCATGTGTGCTAATTCCTCTTCTCCTGCACTGTCAGTCAGCTGAAAGCAGAGAGAAGCCAAATATATTCCAAAATCAGTCATCTTCATCATTGTACTTTATAGATCAAACATTCAGAATACCATCCGAAACAGAAGTTGGAGGCTGTGCACTCCTGCAATGGATTTCCATTGAGCTGGGAGAGTCACAGCCATTTCTAGTCATAGGGTTCTAGTTTCTACTTCTGCCCAGACGGGCCCCACTTACTTCAACTACCACCTCACTCGAGTCTTTCTTCTCTTCCTTCACTGTCACAAGTTTGCCTGGTTTCCTTTTCTCTTTTCTCAGTCCAACCTCCTCCTCCATTTCATCCTCCAATGCGCTAAGGCCTCTCTTCCGGGAACTGGAAGCCTGCAGAGATGAGAGAGGCTTGCATTAATGGTCAACGTCTCCTTTTCCACTTCCAAGCGGCAGCTGAGCTGAGGTGTAATTCGGTAAGATTAAAAAAATGGCAGGGTATAAAAAGATTACACATTTTAAAAACTGTCTCTGCAAAGTGAGCAGGAAAAAATGCCCATCACTCTGCATTTTTTTTTTGTTTGTTTCAAACTCCATATATACTCTTGACAGTATCTTCCTGCAGGTCTTTGACTAAGTAGCTGGGGCTCGGGCAGCATATACATTTAATACATGTAAATTTATTAAATAATATGACTGTTATTAAAATATTACAGGTAGTTCTCACTTAGGAACTGCCACAGACTGCAACTGTCTGCAGTTACAGCAGTGCTGAAATAGTAACTGAGGCAGTGGGCATTCATCCTACAAAGGAAGCAGCACTCCCACCCTCCCCTATTCCCCCCCCTCCCCCCAAGAAAAAAGGGTTTTCACCTGGGCAGCCTTGATTAAGGCGGGTTTCTTTGGTGGAAGCAGCACCTTTAAGTGTTTGGGGCTGGGGGATCTCTGGTGGCTTCTGGCATCGTGGAGAGGCTCGGGGGCCATCTTTCCAATAGAGGCAGATCTGGACAGGGGCCTTACAAAGGTGGATGGGGAGCATTTCCGAGGACCTTCCAGATGATACTGTAACCGGGAAAGGTTGGATTCTTCCTGGTGCCCCATGTTCTGTGGTCTGGGGCAGCCGATGGCTATTCGGGGTGGGGGGCCCTTCTTCTGAGAGTTGATGGGCCTGGAAGGAGATGGAGGAACTGGAGGCCTTCGTGGAGCATTCTTGATCACATCTGGCAGCGGGGGAGATCGTGGCCGCTGGGATTTGACCCCTAGGTCCGCGTTCTGCCAGGACATTATGAAAAGACAGGTAAGCCCTCAGCTCTGAACCACTTTTTAGTGACCGTTCAAGGTCAGGATTGAGGCGAGCGTGCGATACTTATAAACAACTGATCCTCACACGCTCTGGCCACGTTAACATGTTCCGTGAGCATGATCCACATAGTTGGCAAACCGGTTTGTACTTACAGCAGTTGCAGATTCTTGTGGTCACAGGATGACTGTTTGCAACCTTCTCTGCTGTCTCCCCGCAGGCAAAATCAATGGGGGAGCTGGCAGAGAAGATCCCAAGACACTTCTCTAAAGTCACTCCTGCCATTTCCCCCCACCCACCCCCGAGGAGCCCCACTGAGGAATACAAGACCTCTACTACACACTCTGTAGCAATTGCCTCCATCCACACTCTGTAATGTCCATCTAAGGCTCCACAGGCCTCCAGAGTGCCTGTAGCCCCTACCAGCCTACCTGTGGTTCATAGCACCTGCCCACAGCACCTTTATCCCGGAGTAACTATGCACTCTGTAGCACCTATTGGTGGTATCCCTCATGCTCTTTGCCTGGGAATCCCGCCTCTTCCTGCGTTAACAACCGGCAGGGTTCTGGGGTGACAATGGCAACTGGAACGGCTATCACTAAGCAACGTATTTGTGCGACCTTGTATTTTACAGCCAAATTACTTAGCGATGAAAATTCCGGTCCCAATTGCCATTGTAACCAGAGGACTAACTGAATTACTTTTGATGTAACGGAAGAGGATAATTCTGTAAATAGCAGTGGCAGGAGGGCACTTACCTCTAGCACAGGTTGCGTGGTGACCTCCAGAGGCAGTTTCTTCAGGTCAGCATGAGAACGCACTGGGGTAGTTTTCTGGACAGAGCAAGTGGAATAAAATATTTATTTTTTTCACCCGCCTTTATTATTTTAACTCAAGGCTACGAAAATGCAGAATACACTTTCCTCCTCTTTTTCCCCCACAACAACCACCCTGGGTGTGGATTGGGGTAAAAATGATTGGTTCCAAGTCACCCAGCCAACTTTCCTGCCGACAAGTGAGACTAGAACTCATAGTCACCCAGCGGTGAAATCCAGCAGGTTCTGACAGGTTCTGGAGAACCGGTAGCGGAAATTTTGATTAGTTCGGAGAACCGGCAAATACCACCTCTGCCTGGCCCCCGAGTGCGGTGGGAATGGGGATTTTGCAGTATCCTTCCCCTGCCATGCCCACCAAGCCACGCCCACAGAACCGGTAGTAAAAAAAATTGGATTTCACCACTGCCGGGACCTCAACCACTAGTTCTCACTGGTTCTCTAAAGTACTCTCTTATATATGCCTATGTTTCTTAATTAGTGTAGAATCAAAAGATTTGTAGTAGAATTCGTAGAAACGTGGATGTATGGATGACTTTGAGCTCCGACTGTGAACATCTGCCAATACTGGGACACAAAGACTGAACGATGCGATAGAGTCCAGCATGCAAATTTACCTGCAAGGCCTCCAGTTTCTCCTGCTGCTGGCGAATTTTCTCCGTCAGCTCTTTCTGCTTATCTTCCTGTGTTTTCTCCTTTCTCAAGAAGCTCAGGGGAACCTTCTGCTTCTGCTCAAGAGCTTCACACCTGGCAGAGGAAGGAAAAAGCAAAAAGAAAGCTCAGCAATGTGGGAAAAAAAAGATACATGGGCTTAGGGCGTATATTTTGTGTTCTATTACTAACACCGAGATGGAGATTTCACACCACAGGCCTGCTTTGAATTAAACAGAGCACGCCGCTTATCTGAATCCGATTCCTTTATCACGTTGGGTCTTCAAACTTCAGATACCCAAGAAACCCTTCTCAATGTGAAAAATCAGCAGAGATTCCGTTAACATCTTTCCTATATTTAGTTTTGCAGTGATGCATTTAACACAACGGAAGCCGAAGCTAAAATGTTGATGATTCTCAACAGAACCTCAGCTTCTGGGGAACACAGGTTGAATCACAGCCTCTATGATTATAACCCATGGATTTGCATCCCGATCTGTGCTTGCGCATTGTTAACTGTTTTACCAAAAATCTTTCACAGATTCCTTCCTTCCGTCTCAAGAGTTCCTTGGGCAGGCAGGGAACTCTTGAGATGGAAGGAAAGAATCTCTGAAAGATTTTGGTGAAATAGTTAACAATGTGCAAGCACAGGTCGGGATTCAAATCTGACAAGCAGAGATGATTAGTGCAAACTAGCATCCTAATTATTATCCCGATGTACCACCCACACAGTTGTTATGAGGATTGCCGTACAACACACACCAAGTACTCCAAGGTATTACGTCCATCATAGGTATAATCATCATTTAACATAGGAGCCTTGATAGGACAGTGGTCTAGAGCACCCTGTCATTAACACAGCTGCCTGCAATTACTGCTGGTTCGAATCTCTCCAAGGCTCAAGGTTGACTCAGCCTTCCATCCTTTCTAAGGTAGGTAAATTGAGGACCCAGTTTGTGGGGGCAATAAGCTGACTTTGTATAAAATATACAAAAGTATGAAGGCTATTGTTTAACGCATTGTAAGCCCGCCCTGAGTCTCCGGTGAAGGGCGGCATATAAATCAAATTAAAAAAACAAAACAAAACTGGATTCATGTTGTTTTGAGCATCAGTGATTAGCACAACTAACCCTAACCAGGCAATCACCAGGAGTCAATACAAATGATTCAAAGGGCACCTGCCCTCCCCAAAAAACCCCACAAAGTATCATAGCTAACAGACAAATTGTACAGCTTGCTAGATAGAATGTTGATGGAGAGAGGAATAGCGCACTCCATGGTGTATGGCATGGTACAGCTATAAGATTGAGCGAATAATTTCTTCTCTTCTCCCATTTCTTATTTCTGGCTAGGTGGCTCAGTGGCTAAGACGCTGAGCTTGTCGATCAGAAAGATCGAATCCCTAGTACAGGTCTCCTGCGTGAGCAGGGGGTTGGACTAGATGACCTCCAAGGTCCCTTCCAAGCCTGTTACTGTTACTGACTTGCTCTTTTTTGTTCTTTCTGGGCTGTATCCTTTTTCTCGATTCTGTTTAACAGGAGAAGAAGCAGCATTCTTAAAGCGACCCGCCTTGCAGAGGCAGTTAATTATTTAAACGGCTTTCTGACTCTTAACCCACCTATCTTGTTCAGGATCGGGGTTCATGGCACACATCCAGGTATCTGGGTATTCTTGCTCCACAGAGCTGAGCTGGAATGGGAGCGTCCGCCATTTCAAACACACATCTATCATATGAGGACATAACATAGAATCAGCATGCTGAACGTTGAGACACCTGTACCCAGGTCTCTCAACTAAGGTACCGAGAATGCAATAGTTGCCAATGGTCTTTTGCTGCCTTTGGAACCCAGAATAGAGGAAACTTCAATTTACCGCTTACCGCACTGAATAGTCGTTGGGATCTCCATGGCTCTCCGCCTTTTGTAACGCAATTCGTTTGATGGCGGCTGGTTCCAGTTTGCAGATAGGTAGCCGAAATCATCCCAAAACTTGCTAATGCCTTTCTGAGCTGGATGTTTTTTAATTAAAAACAAAAAAAAGAGTCAAATGTGTCTGTGTTGATAGGGTTTCTCCTTTCCTCCCCCAACTCCCTTCCCCCAATGACTTCTTACCGATCTCAATATCCTTCCAATACTGAGCCAAGTGCTCTCCCATTGCTTTTAACAAGTGCCGATATTCTTTCGCATCTGCAAAATCCTGCTTGTTGTGCGTCGGTTCCAGAACGAGATAGGGGACATCCACTACCCCGACCACGCCTCCGCAGGCCCTACGGAGAAGGAACACGGGGTCACCTTTGCGGCCACCAACCCAACAGCCCAGTGTCAAAGAGAAGGAATACGGGAAAGATGGATCCCCATGACAATGAATGGGGAAACGTGTAGATGGACCTGAATTACAGGTAGTCCTCAACTTACGACCGCAATAGAGCCCATTGTTACTAAGTGAGAAATGTGTTAAGTGAGTTTTGCCCCCGTTTTACGACTTTTCTTGCCGCGGCTGTCGAGTGAATCACTGCTGTTGTGAAATTAGTCACACGGTTGTTAAGTGAATCTGGCTTGTCGGAAGGCCGCAAAGCACGATCACGTGACCTCAGGAGACTGCAACCGTCATAAATGTGAGTCGGTTGTCAAGTGTCTGAATGTAAGTCATGTGACCGTGTGGGATGCGGCGGCAACGGTCCTACGAGTGAAAAATGGATCTTAAGCAATGGTGGTATTCAGACAGTTCTATCCGGTCGGCTCAGAAGGCCCGAAAATCAGCTGGCCAGTGCAACGCTTGCCTGCTGAAGCTGAGCTAGGGCAACGCTTGCGTGCCCACAGATATGGCTGCGTGTGCCACCTGTGGCACGCGTGCCATAGGTTCGCCATCACAGCACTACTGCATAGAGACCAACTGCACAATCATCCCTGGGAGGCCTTTCCTTGCGGATACAACATGCAAACGGAGAAAAAGATTTCTCCAGAGGTTTAAGTATCCTTGAGATTTTACCTTTGCATTCTTCAGTTCCTCACTTTCAGTATAGGAACCAGCTCAAACCATTCTGAGAAGAACGAACGTCTCTATTTGTACTGAGCCTCCTTCCATAAATTCAACCAGGGATTCTGTTACAATTTAGAAGGGTAACTAGTGACGGACAAAGCCAATATTGGTTTACTGAGTTCTTCGGCTAGCATCAACCCATTTGTATTTGAAATCCAAAAAGCATTGCTCTGGATGTTCCCGACTGTTTGCTTAACTCTCTTGTACTTTCTCCTCAAGCTCTCCATTCTGCGAAGGGAGGCGGAGAAAAAGAACAAACAATTTCTGTAGGGAATCTCTCCTGTGCCTGACACGCACTCCCCCGTCCCCTATGTACTGACTATAATGCTGATTAGCTGGCTGAGGAACAAAGAAAGTCATATTTTTTTTCCAGCACCATAACTTAGAACAGTTGCTGAACAAGGTAATTGGTAAGCAAGGAGTAGCTGTACCCTACTTGGAAATAGATTTCCCATGAAGAAATTTAGAAGCCAGCAACTGAACAGAAATTGGATGTACGCCACATTAAAAAAAAAAATGAAATTTGCACATTTTTTTAGCACTCAATACAAATATCTGCCTGGCATTTTAAAGAAAGAAACTTCTGAGTTTCTTTCTTTAAAAATATAAAGTCCAGCTCTCTCTCTCTCACAGAAATAAAAAGAGTTCTTTTACAGCAAGAAGAATCTTATTCTAAAAAGAGGTCTTCAATTATAAAGGTATGGTTGAGGACTCCGTGGGAACTCACATGCCACCTTCCAGCTGTGGGCCCACCTTCTCATACATCTTAATCAACCGACTGCAATTGTAGACAAACATCCCGTCCAGATGGCGTTGCTCTATGTTCACCCCGAAAATGAAGTTCAGTTCCTTTGGCTCTTTAAGTGCTCTGAAAAGCAGGAAATCGAGTCAAAGAAAATCTGTGGATATTAAGAACATACTACCATATGTGGTGGTGCTGTCCTGAGGCTCGAAAATATTGGCTAAAAATTAAAGATTGGCAACAGGAAATTACTAATGAACAATTAGACTTAGAACTGGAACTCTTCCAATTGGGGATCTTCAAAAAAAAAAAAAAAACCCATGTGAAGGGCACAAAATATCTAGTACTACACATATTAACTGCTGCCAAGATTGCCTACGCTTAATGTTGGAAAGAGCCATGTACACCCGCAGAGAAACTGGTCATACAAAAGGTCATGAATTGCACAGAAATGGACAAATTAACGCTGAGTTTAAAAGATAAAGAGACACCGATATTTTACAATGTGTGGGAACAGTGGTTTAACTGGATAGAACGGAGATAGATTGAAGATAGTTAAGTACAAGTAATAGATGAAATAAGAATGTAAATCTGCACAATTTAATTTTTGTAAATAATGCACGAATTATTGTCACATGAAAAACACCACAATTAGCTGTTGTTGAGTGAAATATTTTTTTATGTTTTTAATGTAATAAAAGTTTAATAAAGTGTTTATTAAAAAAAGAAAATCTGTGGATATTTATCTGGGGAACAATGATTAGAGCACTAAAAGAAGACTCAGAAGATTCAAATTCTTGCTCTTTTATATGAAGTGAAGTTCAGCCAGTCTTTGAAACTACCTTGTAGAGTAAAAGCAGGGATAAAAGCAGGCATTGAGCCAAGGGCTCCTATTGGTGCAACTACTGGTAATAATCAATAGTTGTTGTTATTGTTATTATATTCTGGTCAGCAGCATTGAGCGGCAATGGATCACTTCCTATGAGGAACAGCTGCCCCCCTGTCTGATTCTTAGGTGTAGAGAGCAGAGTGCGTCCTGTGATCTTATTCAGTAGCATATCAATAAATATTTCAATTCTATACCTTGCAGCATTTCTCAAAAACACTGTATTAATTCATTTAATACAAAATGTCCAAAACAACATCTGTAAACCCACAAAAATAAACTTACTTTTCCTAACTTAGCCAAATTTAGGGGTTCACAGAATGTAGTATTTGGACAAGGGGAGATCATCTAACCCAACCCTCCTGCCTTTTCAAGAATCCACTACCACCTCACCTCCAACAAGATGGCCATCCAGCCTCAATTTAAATGCCTCCAGTGACGGTTCAGTCTCACGAAGCATTCTATTCCATTGCTGAATGGCTTTTCCTGATAGGAAACTTTCCCAGGGCCCAATCAAAATTTACCTTTTAAGGGCATAAATATAATTGAAGCCCCTTGATTCTTTGCCATGTGTTCTGCAAACATTCTAACAATTCACCCTTTTAAAGATTTGACAGCTATTTCAAATCTTCCTCTTTTCCAGGTCCAACAGGTGGAGCCTGTTCTGCTACAAGGCAAGGAAGTTGCTGAGTTTTGCCACCTTTTCCAACCTTTCTTAACACAGTTGTTAAGTGAATCACTGCAGCTGTTAAGTTAGCAACGTGGTTGCTAAGCGAATTTGGCTTCCCCATTGACTTTGCTTGTCGGAAGGTCACAAAAGATGATCACGGGTCCCCCGCAAACGTCACAAATGCAGGCAAATGACCAAGGATCCAGATTTTGATTGCGTGACTGTGGGGATGCTGCAATAGTCTAAGTGTGAAAAATGGACATAAGTCACTTTTTTTTCAGTGCACTTTTCACTATTTTCACTTCTTTAACGGACCACTTATTTGAAAAGAGAAAAAAAACAAGGAACGTGAAGGAACGGTATCCTTTCCACTCACCGCTGTTTTGCCTCCCTGATCCTCTTTTTAACATCTGCCTCTCTCCGTATGGTTATTGCTACGTCTTGAGCCTGGCGCAGCATAGCCTACAGGTGTAAAAAAACGTCTCAACTTAAAACAGCGAAGTAATGTAATTTGTCTGCTTAACACTTGTATTTTTATAGTAACAGCTTCCTTGCTCAAGGCCTGAAGCTCCGATAAGCACAGAGGGGGGCCGAATACCGTTGCCTGCTTATAGCGCATAGCTGCAATTCAGGAAATCTAGTCACAAGTATTTGTTCTATTGATTTCAGAAAACATCACACATCTAGAACCCACAAACGTTAAGTATGCACAATTTTGTAGAGATAAAACGATCGTAAAAGAAGCAGAGGCTTCTGCTGAAGTTTCAGAGGGTTCAGCTCTCTCTTCCTGCTTTGGACACGAAACATTTTTCCAGATAGTAAAACGCAATTATAGAACGATTATATGTGTGAGCCAGTGGTGGTTTTAAATTTTTTTCACTACCGGTTCTGTGGGTGTGGCTCGGTGGGCGTGGCATGGCATGGCTTGGTGGGCATGGCAGGGGAAGGATAATGTAAAATCTCCATTCCCACCCCAATCCAGGGGAAGGATACTGCAAAATCCCCATTTCCTCCCCATCATCTGGGACTCGGGAGGCAGAGAATAGATGGGAGCGGGGCCAGTCAGAATTTTTATTACCGGTTCTCCGAACTACTCAAAATTTCCGCTACCGGTTCTCAAGAACTGGTCAGAACCTGCTGAAACCCACCTCTGGTGTAAGCATATGTACACGTATATTATTATTATGATTCATCATCAGAATAGATATTCCAGCAATTTTGATCATGAACCTTTGTCCTCCCCATCTACCAAGCACAGCCAGAAGTTCTTCAGTTCAGCTCCAGGAGATTTCTCTGAATCTCTTCTTGGATACCGAAATTTCACATTAGCAGTCAAATGCAGTGTATTTACCCTGGACTCCCTAGAAAGGTCTCCTCCCAGCCGCAGCTCTAAAGCCCGGGCTTTGCTTTCTGCTTCTCTGGCCTTCTCTTCCGCTGTAAAAGAGAAATTAATCTTCAGAGAAAATGTATACAGGTAGTCTTTCTATGTACAACCAGTTGCTTCAAAACTACGATGGACTGGATTTACAGCCATTTGCAGCGTTCCATGGTCACCGGGTGATTTCCAGGAGCATAAGAATCTTGCTGCCTTTGCCGTTTCCTTTTTGGTCCCAGCTTCTCCAGTGAACAGGGCTCCCAGAATGTGTAGGAAACTTCCAAAAGTTGCGCCGCCTTCAGAAAACCAGGGCAGCTTTCTAAAGGTCAACACCATTTTCAGAAGGCTCGGGGAGCCACGTGTAGGAGCACGGTGCAGTTTGGATACAGAATGTGTGCAAAACGTGGGCGCTTGGTTTAATGCAATGATCTGATTTGGCTTGTGCTTGTTCAAGCCGTTCCTGCTCCAATGGGTTGCCGTTCCTTTCTTTTCGGGGACTCACCAATCCGAGCCATGTGCTCTGCTTTCTTCACCTCTTGCTCCGCTCGAGTCTTGAAGCGCTTGGATGTATACTTGTACATCCTGTAAGGAGTTGCAAGAAAAAGACAGGGAATGTATTAATACGGCCATAATCCTCAAAAAAACGGTGCGCTCCATAAGGCTTGTATTTCTTTTGAATATGTAGCAATATAAAGCAGACTTTCAATTTCTTAAAATGTATGGCTCAGCTAAACCACACGGTATTTGCTGATCTCAAAATGCTTGGGGAAAAAAAAATTCTGGAAAAAGCAACAGAAAACCATTTCCATATCGTTGTTAAGAAAACTACAAGAAGTTCCAAAGTTAACTGGAATGAGCTCTTACTTGAACAAAACAAATCTTAAAAGAACCCAAAGATGATGATTCTAGCTGTCCTGTGGTCATACAATCAAGTTCCCTCCACCTGACTGCACAGATGTGGATTTTGAGCCTGAAATCAAGTAATTTAACACCTACCTGATATTTGACTATCCACAGCAAACAGAAATTTCATTAAGGTATTAAAAATACAAAGTAATCTATGAATTACGACAGTAATAGGGACCGGAATCTCTGTCACTAAGTGATGTAGTCGTAAAGCATGACATTACATGATTGCATCAGTGATGGCAATCCCAGCACTGCCATTTTCAACCGAATTCCACTGGTCATTAGCCAAATATCCCCCTCCCCCCAAGCCAAGCCATTCCGGGCTGGGTCATTCCCAGACCTGAACCTCACCTCTTCCAGGACTACCTCTCCTTCTATTCCCCCTAACCACCTGTTCTCCCCCATCTCTGCCTCTTTGGTTACCCTGTACCCTGTCTTGCAACCCCACTGTTAAGTGCCACAGACGCCAAGCAGAAAATCTCGTGACCGCAACAAGGTTATGTCACTTCTCATTCAGTTAAATAAATCACCATGGTTGTTAAAGTTAAGACATCATGTGATTACAACTTGCTTCTTTTACTTCCACATTCTCCATTAACTCTGCTTGTCAGAAGTTGGTTGGGAAGCGTGCAAAGGATGGTGGTGCATCCTGAAATCCTCTAACTGCCCCACTCCTGGCTAGTAAAACAGAATATGCTGTCATGACCAGCAGTGCAAGCAATTCTTACTTTCTGATGTTAATCCTGAAGTAACATATAAGATGACCAGGTTTTGTGTTGTGGTATATAAAATTAGACAATGAATAGTTAAGAGCAATTGAACTTGTTTGAGTAGGGAATGGCTTTGACTCAGCAAAGTCAATTTTTTCATGTCTGCTACTGTACTATATTTTTCTCAGATCTGTCAGGGGCTCCATAATTCCGCACTGTAGGTATTAACTAAGAAGAATGAAGCCTTTAAGCATATTTTTGGATCTTCAGGATATTTAAAAACTCCCCCCCCCCTTTTCTTCTTTCTTTCTGCTGGTTAATGACTGCAGTAGTTATCTGTTTGTTTATTTGCAAGTCTTTCACAAGCATTCCCGGTCTCTTTAATTTGAGGACAAAAATTGTGCAAATACCACACAAGGGCAGGAGTAGGGATATACCGGATACAAAATTTAGTGCAGGCTCGCACGACTTGTAAGGTCACACTGATAAACCAAAAATAACCATAATATCTTGCATGCTGATGAAAGAATTAGATGATTAATACAAGCTAAATTTGAAGTATGTTGTGATGAGAGAAGCCGAGATATGGTCTGAAAGATTGGCAAAACCAAAAGGGGATTTCAACAGGACGGTCGTCCAAAAAACGATAATAGCAACTTGAGTTTGTTTTGATATCTGAAGAGAAATCGCTGGCTGTAAAAGAACTTGGCTATGCATCATACCTAGGTTTGAATAAGCAGCAGGAGAGGCGTTTAGTTTGTACTTTGTGGCCGTGGATGAAGATCCGCATTCTGGGATCAATGTAGAGCACAGCAGCATATGCCCGGAAAGAACGGCGTTCTGGCTTCCTGAAACAGAACACACGCTTACACATCAGAGAGAGAGCAGAGCGCACGTCATCCTAAAAACGTTCTCTTATTGTACTAAATTCATCGTCTGCCAACTGAGTGATTAGCAGCATGCAAATTATATCATCCTTGATTAAAGACAGAAATAAAACCGGAGCTTAGATTGCTGATTCTATCAAACCTACGTTCCCTCAGGTGGAGTTTCAGCCATCTGGATATCTCGGGGATCAGAGGTCACATCTAGCTCAGGTTCACCATTATCCATCAATTTGAGGTTGAAGACGATCACCAAAGTCCCTGTAAGAGACACAGTGCTGTTAATCCTGTCGCGTGCGCATTCTTCCTTCGAACAGATAATAGCCACACGGACAAATACGCTACGCTGAAAACTCTCTTGATTTCAAAGAATACTATCCCTTAAAAGTCTGCTGAATACACTACCTTTCTCTCCAAAAATCTTGTCAAACTGTTGCATCACTTCCTGCTCCGATTTGAAAGGAGAATACTTGTAAATCAATTCAGTCTCGATGGAAAACTTTTCCATGTTGTCTGTCAAAGGCTCTCTGGTGCGGGCATTCCAGGTAGGCAGAGGAACAATCACCTGCAAATTATTATTTTAAAAAAAAAAAAAAAAAAAATTGCTTTAGGATAATTCTATTTCGATGGCCCTGCAAAAACTGGCGTCTTCTCTATTTTATCAAGGCAAAATACTTGCAAACCTCATCAATGCCTTCCTCTTCGTGAAACGTGCGAGACAAGAAGAGACACGTCATGGTGTTTTCCTTCTTCGTAAAGAGGATGAAATCCTTGCCGATCCGCATGGAACCTCTGCAGAAAGAGTTCAGCTTATGGAATATCAAAATCAATCCTGCCAGGACATACTGAAAATGACATGGCAGGGAACAAATTACAGTTTCAGTTTAACTAACTGAAAATCCTGTTAGCTCTGGAGATGGCTAAGCAAAAATTCAGAAAAGTGCAGCTTCTGAGAAGAATGAAATCTGAGTATAAAGACACCAGGTCTTTCAATTTAACTGAAGATCTTTGGACGCAGATACTCTTTTCCATTGGGCTTACTTTCAAGTAAGTACATTTTTCTTTTTATTTTAGCATTTTAATGAAACACAAAAAGTACTTGGGAGGCGGGACTCCATATACCTACGATTTTAAGCCATTTCCGTATTGTCCAATCTGTGTGGATTCTGGTGACCGTTTAGCAGATTTGCCAAATTGAATCACACTTGCAGCATCATCTGAAAGTAATACAACAAATATATACATATATTACTAGCTCCCTCAAGATACTGAAGCTTCAGATAAAGGTTTCTTCGAGGTACGTTTCAATTTTCACAATCTCTATTCAGAAGGCAGGACGGTATGTTAAAAGGTAGAACAGATTCACAAAGCCACTTGGTTGGTTTCTCTTCTTCTGATGACGATAAGCTTCAAACTGATCTTCAATAATAACAAAGGTATCACTGTATTGTACGGTAGTGTGGATGTAGTTGCAAAGAAATATTGTTTTCTGTACTGGGAAAGCCACCAAATCATTTTCTAGATTATAGCATTTTCATACCATCTCTTTTCATCCATTTATTCTGTGTGTTCCAAATAATTTCATTCATGTTAGTTCTATAAATAAATTAGATGTTACGGTTCAGCAGCATATAGTTTGGTCACAAAAAAATGGAAGCGTTTGCTTAAAGCTTCTGTTGCCCTTTACTTGATTTCTTAATTTTGTGATGATGTAAATTTTTAAAAATGCAAAGCTGCATGGATGCCTGACAGGTGAACAAACCGTCGATACAATTCAAACCCATTTCCTTTGTCTGGCTGTGGACAGCCATATAACAGGTACATAATGAAAGAGATCGTGGATTTTGAAAATATTAAACTATCTTCAAAGTCGTACTAAGTGTTATGTTATTGTTTCTTCATAGAACCTAACCACCAGAGGTCATAATTTTAACAACAAAGATGATTTATTCCTTCCTTTCTATACAAATATAATGGGCTTCATTAGACTAAAACATTTTTTTGTTAAATAAGCCAGAGTAAAAGACATACTGTAATTTCTGTATGAATCAGAACTCCAAGCTAACTATCCAATAACCGGTAATTAAACTGGAGGTATTAAATAGCTATCAAAATTGGCAGCCACTGATAGCTTAACACTCCACAAATTTCTCTCATCCCATTTTAAAACCAACTGGCACAATATCTGAAACAGTCTTCTCCAGACAGTCCTCATTTACTGACTGCTTGTTTAACAACCCTTCATAGTTATGAAGAAACTGAAGATAGCAGATTTATGACCAACAGTCCTCTAAGTTGTGGCTACCACAGCATTCCCAGTTATGCGATTGCGTTGCCATTTGTAATGTTTTGTCAGTTTTCGACCAAGTCACTGGGAAAGCCAGCAGGAAATTGCAAGCTGAAGTCACGCACTTTTAGTGACTGTGATTAATTATTTAACAACCACAGCTGAAAATTACATCACAAGTTGATCACATGATATTTCTCTTTATGACTATGTAGCTTAGTGACAGAGTTGCTGGTCCCAATTATGGTTGGTAAGTGAAGACTACCTTATAGCGCCTTAAAGTTCTGATACAAAGAAATGATAGTATCAAAGAACATGTTTCAAGGAAATAAGCTTGAGCCAATAGCAATATTGAAATGCTTATCAATCCAAAATGCTACAAGCCAGGCAGAAAATTAAAAAAAAAAACAGATCTAGTAAAAGTTTGCCACGTCCAAGGTATAGGATCGTCAACGATAATCGTGTGTACAGCTTTTACGAGATATTATGTCAATTGTAACTATATTTTCTACTCTTAGACACTTGTTACATGAAACTATGTACAAAAAAAAATTCAAGGCGCTCGGGTGAACAAATCAGCACCCAGGGCAGGCAAAGCTTAAAAATCCTTAGTGAAGAAGCCAGCGAGAAAGACTACCTTCAATAATACAAAAGGGACTTTTGACAGTTTGAAAGATACATTGAACAATTCGGTGAAATTTTTTCCTTTCGCCAAATTGTAGACTGACATCTTTCATCATTGGCAAGGGGTACACATTCTCCATACAAATCGCATTCAGGCCGCGGTAATTAATGCACGATCTTATTATTTTTTTTTAACAAGTTTTATTAAGTTTTTCTTTTACATACATATTTTATGAACAGAGTATTGACCGGGTCACATCTTATACAACTTGTAACATAGTTATATATTGATTTTTATAATCTATTCCAATCTCCTTTTTTGTTTTTTCAAATACAATTTACATATTTCAATTTCTGCCATGATATTTTTTCCCTACTTTTTTATCTTATCTTAATCTCTTTGTAATACGTAATATATAAACAATATCACCATCCTAATTTCTTAGCATTACTTCAATTAATTATCTTATTTCTCCATTTATAAAGTATATTTCTCAAAATCCCCATCACATTTTTTGGCTATAAACAATGTACTTCACCTTATTCTATTTTTACATTGAAACCCTTTAACTTAATTGACTTTCCACATCTTAATCTCTTATAAGTACATAATAAACAATATCACTATCTGCCCTTAATTCCTGATTTCTTATTATCGCATCAATTATTTTATTTCATCATTTACAACGTATTATTTCAAAATCCCCATCACAGGTTTTTACATTTCAATTTTATCTCATGATTTGTTATTTTCATAATTGAACCAAATTACTTCATATTTCATCTGATCATTTTACAATACACAATATACATCATCATATTTACTTTTTACATTCACAATTACTAATGTTTATACAGTTCCCTTAGATCTACTAATATATCTTATTTCCCTTCATTCTTTCCACTATTCTTCCCCTTTTAACCATTTTCTCTTGGTCTCTCCAGAATTCCACTTCTTAATAATTTTCTCCCTTCATCCCATTCTCGTCTTCTTTTTATATTTATTATATCTTTTCCTTTAACACTGTCAAATTAGTTACTAAGTCTGCATTACTATTAATCTTCTCACTGTTCCTATCACCCATCTCCTCTCACTTATGACTGTAACCTTGTTGCCGGTATCCTTAAGATTTATATTGACTGTTTCCCTATGACTATCATTAAGTGTTGTATCTTATGGTTCTTGACAAATGTATCTTTTCTTGTATGTACACCGAGAGTGTATTCACCAAGACAAATTCCTTGTGTGTCCAATCACACAAGGAATCCTTTCTCTAACTTTTGAGTCTATTACTCGCATCATTCGCCTCAAGTTTTTACCTAATCTTTTCCCATTTCCTTCTCTTCCCCTTTGATTGATTCTTTTTTGGAAAATATTCCCCCCTATCCATTCTTTTTTTGCCACTGTAAATCACAGTGTAATCATCTAACTTTTTACCTTCAATTCCTTTACTTTCAATATTGTTTTTTTGTTTCTCATTTATATTCTCTTTTTCCTGTTTCGTGTATTCTAACAAGGTTTCTAACTTTGTATTGCCCTTTATTGATTCACGCATGTTTTTAAGCATCTCAATTAATTCCTCACACATCCAAGACTCCATATTGTCAATTTAAAAAATTATTGATATTTTAACTTATATTTAAGATTTAAGTCCATATAGTCTGTTTTTAATTTCCAGATGATATCCAGTACAAATGTTTGTCCAATCCACTCCAATTTAAAGTTTTATTTTTTTCCACCTCCTTTAGAAGTTGAGACCCAGCTGTTTAAGTACAAACAAATACTCCTTTAAATTTCTCAAACTCTTGTAATGATCAAGGTCACTGTTGTTATTTCTTTCAATTTAGCCGGTCGTTGTAGTGCTTTCTTTCCACCAGACGTCTCTCTCCAACCCACAATTCTCAGAACAACAAAGTATCCAGCTTGCAAAAGTATTTTAAATCCACATAGAAAATACTTTCTCTCAAATTTCTTTTCCTTTTTGTTTTTAATTTCTCTAAATTCAGTTTTAAATCCAGTTGTAAAATTTCCTTTCTTGGGCTTTAATATTTTAACCTCTTTGTTCTTCCTTCAAATTTCAAAACTGTCAAAATTATTTCAAATCCTCATTAAAAAATACTTCCCCTCGGGTTTCTTTTTCTTGTATTAGTTTTAATTTCTCCAAATTCAATTTTAAATCCAAATATAAAATTTTCTTTTCTGGGTTTTAATACTTTAACTTCCTCTTTGTTCTTCTCCCTCCATTAAAATTCCCAAGTGCCAATTAGCCACTTGTTTCCTCGCCAGGACACCTTTTAAGGTATCTTTTTATAATGTCCTTGTTTACCTGTGAGTTGGCCAATTGCTCACCCAGTACCAGTACTCCATTCAAACACCGCTCCTGCACGAAGTCTTATTGCGGTTGCCCCAGCTTCGAAGCGGTGATTTTTAATGGCCGCCACCCCTGCCACCGGTTTGAAGAGCTGCCTCCGACCTTTCGAGAAACTTGCCTGTTCCTCTTGATCATCTGAGGCACCTCTCCTTCTTCAGCGTCCCTACAGGACTTTTCCGGTCTGAAGACCCCCCAACAGCGGTTTGTCTGGTTGGATTTTCGTGAGGCTCATCGGAGCTTGCTATTTTCCAGCCAGTCTCGCCGTGATGCTTCCGGTTCCTCGTTAATGCACGATCTTAGAGAGCCTGCCCTTTTTTCCTGAAACACCACCAGGTCAGCCATGCATGATTTTGCTGGCCGGATGAACCCCTTGGCCATGTTCTTGTCAATAAAAACTCTGAGCTCTTCCAATTCCCTTGGTGTCATCAAGTAAAGTCTAGGATTCAGTAGTTTGGCCCTGAGTAGGATCTTGATCGCAGTCTGCTGTGGTGGTAGGACTCCAGTATTTGCTAGGTATGGCGCTAATTGCTTCTTTCCGCTCTTGGGTTGAGGCAGTGTTTCCCCCTTTCACTTTCTTAATAAGTGGTGTGTGGTTACTTAGTTTCACTTTCTTTGGGGCTTCCCATTCTGGGTTTTGCCAGAGGATTTTTAACACTTTTCTCTTGCAGTCTATAGACAAGTTCCATTTTTCCAGCCAAGCCAAACCAAGCCCCATGGGATGGTCCATTCGTGGGGCTACAACGAATCTAATAGTCTCTTTGTGAGATCCCATTTTTTCTTATGTTTACTACTGGTTCAGTCAAAAAGGTCCCCTGCTAGCGAACCATCTAACTGCAAGGCCATTAGAGTTTTTAACTCTTGAAGTTGTGGTCCAAGCCTCTCCTCTACATTTAGGCTAACTATGGTTGGCAACGGGCGCATCTGGAGTCCAGTAAAACCATCATCATGCCCTGCATCCCGAGGAAGCCACCATTAGTTCTATGCTGATTGTCCCTGGGATTAGGGGCCACTTATCATAGGGTCGTCTTCTCTCCGCTGTCACTGTCTTGATCCAACTTGGGGCCTTTGATCGGAGTTCCCTCACCATCGCTGGATGATGAGGTGAACTCTACGATCTCAATCTCTCTTAATGATTCCTCTTGGGGTTTAAAGGTTGCTGAAGTCTTCTTGGGAGCTTTGTAGGGCTTTGTGTTTGGCTCCGGGAAGGACAATCGGTGCGCTTGGTAGCCATTTTTTGCCACATCGGAAACATATGTTGCAACGCCTAGGACTGGCCCTCCCCTTTCCCATCTGGGGTGAATCCTTCCTCTATGGGGTGTAAAAGTTTCATTGCTCCCAGCCAGTGCATTCGTGAAATGTCGCCAAGTCAGTCTCCACTTCGCCAGCCAACTTCTACCATTGGTGGAGGATTCTAGGTGCTCCTCATGACAGACAGATCTTGTGGTTTCAGAAGTACTCGATCAGCATTACCTGGACCAGTCGACTGGCTTGGGGTCCTTGGTGATCTCTGAGCTAGTTTTCTTGCTGACATTTCATTACTCAGCTAGGTAATATCAATAGTGCTAGTAAGGAGTGCAGTGGTGGCTTGCTCTGTCAGTGCTGGTTGGGGCGGTCTTAGAGATTCTTTGGTATTGTTTACTTGATTGTTGGTCTGATGTTAACCTTCGAGTTAATCTATGCTGATCTGGGTGCTGATTACTGGTGGAGAGGTGTTTGGGTCTTCTTTTTTGCCTGGGTGATAGTCCCTTTAGGATAGTCTATAGATGTTGTTCGTATCTATGTATCTATTGATGGCTAATTTGTCAAGAGCTCCAGCCTTCTAGAAAGTCTCCAGTGTTTTTGGATTTGGCCTGGTCTTGGATTGTCACATTTTTCCCAATTGAAACTATGGTTATATCTATTTATATGTTGTGAAATTAAAAGATTTACATCATGGCTTCTGATTGGTAGTTGGTGTTCATGGATGCATTCTGCCAGCCTCCTACCTGTTTGTCCTACATACTAATTGTTGCAGTTCTTAGATTGTATGTTGTAGATAACTCCTGTTTTTTCTTCTGGGGTTGCTGGGTCTTTTGGTTTGCTTAGGATGTTTTGAAAGGCAGTTGGCTTGTGTGCTACACCAATTCCATGTAGTTGTAATAGTCTCATGGGGGTTTCTAAGATATTCTTGATGTATGGCAGTGTAATTCTTTTTAGGGTTTGTGTTGGTTGTGCTGTATTGGGTTGACTGGTCAGGGACTTTTTGATAAAGTTGTGTGGATATCCATTTTGTTGGAAGATGTTGTATAGATGCTCCATTTCCTTTTTCTGCTGTTCCGGGTTGTTGCAGTACGTTTGGGCTTGTCTGAATAAAGTCCTTACGCAGCTTCTCTTGTGGGAAGTTGGGTTATTGCTTTGGTAGTGGAGCACCTGGTTCGTATGGGTGGTTTTTCTGTACACTTGCGTTTCTAGTTTGCCATTGGGGTCTCTGCTGATCAGGATGTCCAGGAAGGGTAGCGAGTTGTTGTTTTCTTCTTCGTTAGTAAACTGGATTCCTTTAAAAATGTTATTGGTGGTTCTGTGGGTATTCTCTAATTGGTCCTTTTTATTATGGTGAAGATGTCGTATACATATCTGATCCATATTTTTGGTTTTATCATGTTGCTATGAATAAGAAATCCTTATTTTTTAAAAAATTGTCAAATGTAATTTTAATTAAGTTTGTATTTTGAGAAATTTGCGTAAAATATTATTACTTCAAAACCAACATTACAGGTAGATAAAACAAAGAATGGAAGCTGAAATAAACAAGAATGGAGGCTCAAATATAAAAAAGCAAATGATACCAAAAGAGCTATTCTTTATACTTAAAATTGTTCTTTATAATACTGAATATTTTATAATTTCAAAACTGTAACTGAAAAAGACCTTACAATTTAGCAGTAGTAATGTTTTAAGAAAAAAAACATGATCATCCACTTGGCTGATAGTTTAAGTCACATAAGTATTTTCTTTAAAAAATTCTGGAATACTCCACTTCAGACTATTTAATAATAAAGATTTCTTATACAAATACACAAATTCATTATCACTAATATGACAAGTCAAAAAGTATCAAGTTGAAGAAGTGAGTGCTTTGTGTGCAGATTACCAGATTACAATTACTCATTAAAATACCATACAGTTTTGAAGGCACCACATTTGAAATTTCAATTGAATCACCTTTGAAATTGACCTTCAGAGCACACAAATCAACAGATCTTAAATATATTTTTGTCATTCTGCCTTTGCTGACTTCACAAATATTCTAACAAACTTTGGTAAAACATAATGGATCAGCCATACCTGATGTACTGTAATCTGTCAATTTGAAATATTCTTTTTTTCCCTCTCTTTTTACTTACTTGGGTCCATTCCAGCTCCATCATCCAAAAAGCCCAGCATGAATCCACCTCGAAGGTCTTCACGATTCTCTATGAGAAGAGAAGACTTTGAGTGACGGGTCTATAATCCTTCTTTTATATTAGAAATAAAAACTGAAGTGTTCAAACTGTTTATCATACATGATGTCATATTTTATTGGTAGAACAGCATCAAGAACTAATGAAATAAAGCTTATGTAAGGGCCTGGAATGAAATCAGTGAACAGATAAACCATTTAATCCTTTCTTAGTTCTCATTAAATATGTACATATTCTGTGTGTTCTACACACTCCACTTTCCAATCTGCCCTCCATGTTCTATGAATATCTGGCAAGCTATAAGGGAAAAAGTTAACTTACCAGCAAAGATATCTATCCTTGTGGCACTTGCGTCTCTACAAAACAGCAATAAGGAATCGGTTTTAGTTGAAGATCAGCTATCACACCTGATAGAGGTATTGTAAGTTACTTTTATCTGTTCTTTAAGCACTATTGTACCCTGCAACAAGGTATTTTAAAATCGTAGATGAAAATAAGAGCAAAAAAGGGAACACTTTCAGGGAGATAGAAAGGCTAGTGAGGTAACTGGTGTAAAGCAGTCAAGATCTTTAAAGTTGTGATCAATACAATTTTAATTACATTCATAGCTGATACTATTTATCCATTTTTTAAAAAATCAATCCAATCAATTCATTAACAGCCCATTTTAAGTGCAAAAGAGCCTTGGTGGCACAGCAGACTAAAGCACTGTTAAAGTAACACCAGCTGCCTGCAATTACTGCAAGTTCAAATCTCACCAGGCTCAAGGTTGACTCAGCCTTCCATCCTTTCGAGGTAGGTAAAATGAGGACCCGGTTTGTGGGGGCAATAAGATGACTTTGTATAAAAAAGAACACCGCTTAGGGGGGGCTGAAAGCCCTACTAAGCAGGTATATACAAAAGTATGAAGGCTATTGCTTAACGCATTGTAAGCCGCCCTGAGTCTCCGGAAAAGGGCGGCATATAAATTGAACCAATAAATAAATAAATAAATAAATAAGTAATTGTTTTAAATTCAAACTGGGACTCTTTATTTAGCTATAAAAGCATGCTTTTTCCTGTTCATTCTCACAATTCCATATGAATATTCCGTGCAGAAGCTATCCTTCTAAATTAGGAATTTGTTTTTATTATGTTTTCCTGCAATCAAGCACTATTCCTATGATTTTCTCTTTCGAAATTTTTAATCAAATCAAAGGTTAGGTTTTCCTCATGATCGTCTATTTCCACCCACATTACAGTATAAGTTTTCCCCTCCAACAGGAATTACTTCAAGCCAATTTACAGCACCATCGTTGCCGATTGTGAAGAAGGCAACATGCATCCACCAGTTGATCAACATTATAGTACAAAAACTGGCACCTAATCAACTTGATGCTTCACCCGTCATTTTATTTGGCATTTAAATAGCTCACTATTTGTGAGAAGGCAGCCATGCAGCTGATATACCATTACATTCCTTTGCTCACTAAATTAAAATAAGAAAACATTTAAACATGGTGTTTTAACCTCTGAGAAACGTCAGCCCATAAACTAGGAGTGATACAAGAGACCCTGACAACAGAAAATATTCTGTCAAAAAGCTCCGCCTAGCTCTAAGCAATTCTACTGGAGTCAATTTCTGCTGAATTGTAACCGCAATGGAAAAAAATAACATCAGCAAAGTTGATAGAAGGACACAAAGTTATAGCATCACATGGGTATACAAGCATTCTAGGAGAGGGTTAAATACTGCATAACAGTGCTTTTGGATGTGTTATTTTCAATTTAATAAGGTGATGTAAATTAGCACTGAGCAAAATTCAATAAAAGCAATATTTAGTATTTCCAGTATAGAGTAAGTAAAGTTATTTTTAAAAGAAATCTTTACATTCAATTTCTCTGTAAGTACAATAAAACAATGAATTGAAAGCAAGTTAAATCCAGTGCAATTTAAGCATTTTGTAAAGTATTTTTTAAATTAGTATTATCAAATTTCTTTGCTGACCATTTCACCCTTCAAGGTGACTGAATAATGCAAGAAAAAAAAATTCAAATCTAGAAAGTTATGGTGTTGGGTATATTACCTTGCATTATCTACAAGCTCAGCAAGGGCTCCAAACAAGAATTCGTGTGTGGTTCTGCAATGCCAAACAGAATTGGTAAAAATCCTTTGAATCCAGGAAGCCGTGTACATAAACATTATTGACCCTATCTAATTTATAACAGGTTCTTAAAGCGACCAAGAAAATTACATAAAACTGTCCCTCAAAACAGAACAAATTTCTACAATTAACTATGGCAGCATATTCTGGGCTTATTCAAAATAAGACAAGATTTTGCAGGAGTACAATTTCAGCAATTATAGACTTTTTTCAAAATGTTTCAAATGTGTAAACTATTAACAATTCAATTTGAAATCGTTCTTGACATATGTAGCATTAAGAGGTTTCTTTTCTATAAAAGTGGATTTCCTAATTTCATAATCTGTTTGTAGGAAATTCTGCATCCTTTTGGTGATGCAAACGTTCAGAAATGCATGTTAATAACTACTCCTAATCCAGAAAATTAAAGAAAAATCTTAAATTTGTACTTCTAACAATTCAATAATGCTAATCCATGGTAGAGTCCCATTTTTTTATTAACCACTAATACAATAATAAATCTTCAAAGTAATATTTACATTAACTATTATTTTGCCGAAAAATGGAAAGTAATTTTTTTAACCACTTTTACTACTTTTTGAGTTCTTAAGACTTGAATAAGGCAATTTTATCATTGATCTAGTATCTAAAATGACACGGGCCTTTTGCATTGTGGCACCAGCATGCCATTCAGCAGTGATGTGACTCTTGAAAGAATCCCAAATCGTATTCCGGTTCACAGTAAAAGCAAATTTCCCTAAAATACAGGGAATAAGGACAAATCTCTCAGAATACTTGGAGGTTATTTAAAAGTACTGTAAGTGAAATGAAATACTTCATAAAAGATGTACCATAACCAAATGCCAATCAATGCTAGACTAGTTAATGAGCAAAGTCAGAGAAGATACAACAAAGTCGCCTGTCAACAACTGAATAATAATAACTGAGATACAGTAATTTTCAAGTACTCTAAGATATTCCATACAAGAGCGTCACAAACTGTTATTTGTAATTGTCAAGTAGAGGACATATAATAATGGTTGCAAATTAAAGAAAGGAAGGTTCTATGTGAACAGAATGAAACACATCCATAATAGCAAGAACACACTGACTACAAAACGAAGATAATGGAACTATCCTTCACTATATTTATTCAACTAGTTACTGAACATCTGTCTTTTAATTTGGATAACTGCATTAAGCGAGAGGTTGGTTTTCTAGGATTTTTTTCAAGCTAGTTGTCTTAGCATCTATCTTCCCTTTTGAGGATAAGACAGATCACTATGCCTGAGCTTGCTTTCCAAAAAAAGCAGCTCAAGCACAGCGTTACACCAGATGAGTAACAGAAATAACAAGAAATTATATTGTAAACTTGACTATTAAAGAACAGCAAATCCTAGCTTCCAAAACTAACCATATTTGGATTCTTAAAGAACTCAAATATGAATGTACTGGGTTTCTAAGAAAAGCTTACACATTTTTCAAGGACTGGAAAAATAAAACCTCCAATTTCTAGTAAGCGATGAAAGATGGGATGTTTACATTTTTATATCAATTTAATATCCATTTGCTAACACTATATGCCATAGAACTAAGAACAGGAATCAGCAAGGCTTCTGCTAAGGCCAAGTGCTGTCACGGTAATCTTATTCATTTTTAACAGGTCATGGAAACAATTTACAGATAGTCCTTGACCGCAATTGGGACCAGAACATCTGTTGCTAACGAGTTGCACCTGATTTTCAGCCTTTTCATTATGAACTTTAAATAAATATGGCTTCTCCCACTCCCTTTGCTTGTTGGAAGCACCCCGAGAAGGTTGTAATGCTCCATACACAACATGGGAAATGTAATCTGATCTTGTGACAGCAAGAGAGTTTGTATTGTAAATTTTATTCTATTCCCTAACTTAAGTACCAGCGAAAATATAATTGAATCCAACCATGTAATTTGGATTTTAGCTTCATATACTAACTAGGAATTCTACATAAAAAGAGCAGTTTCTACTGTAAATTGGTAATTTTATCATCTACAGTAATGATTTAAAAATAATAGTTGGGTCTAATCCAAAGAATCAAGACCCATTAGTAATTATGTATAGAGAAATCTTATTTCAGAAAGCCACACTATTTTCCAATTTCCATTGTGTCTAGATGGACTTGGTCATCTGGATGTTCTCAGGCAAGCAGTTTTCTTCAAAGATGCAATATTATTTTTATTTTAAAAAATGCGGTATAAAATATTTTCACCAGTTATTACCAAAACTTGTGGGAAACTGTAGAATCTTCACAAGGACCTACTGAAAATAAGCACAGAGAATTTGGGAAAGAGGGAACTAGAAGATGGTTCTCCAAATGTCTATCTTCCAAGAAGAGGCAAAACCAACAGAAAGATTCTTAACAGATTCTTCTCTCCATCAATCTACAGGTAATAGCCACTGAATCTTTAAGGTAGAAGAGGAAAGACACAACTGAGAGGAAAGGATGACCCATGGTGGCACAGTGGTTAGAGTGCAGTACTGCAGCTACTTCTGCTGACTGCCGGCTGACTGCAATTTGGCAGTTCGAATCTCACCAGGCTCAAGGTTGACTCAGTCTTCCATCCTTCCGAGGTGGGCAAAATGAGGACCCAAATTGTTGGGGGCAATATGCTGACTCTGCAAATCGCTTAGAGGGTTGTAAAACAGTATATAAGTCTAAGTGCTATTGCTATTAATATAGTACACCACTTTTTATATTTATTGTGAACTTCAATTGTGTAATTTTATTAAAGATCTGTCTTATGTTTCAATAAAGTTGTTGTTTTTTCCCCAAAACATCTATCAGTTATCATTCAATATTCTGAAGTTTCATTAAGTCATAGGTGGATTTTTCTCACCTTTCCTTATTGCATATGGACTAGTACATAATTGGAATTGGGTATGGCTAGTCTAGAGAAAAGGAGGGCTAGGAGTGACATGATAGCAGTGTTCCAATATGAGGGGCTACTACAAAGAAGATGGGGTCAGCCTATTTTCCAAAGCGCAAGAAGGCAAGACAAGAAACAATGGATGGAAACTAACAAGAGGGAACTAACCTAGAACCAAGGAGAAATTTCTTGACAGTGAGATCAATTAACCAGTGGGACAGCTTGCCTTCAGAAGTTATGGGTATTTCAACACTGAAGACTATTAAGGGACTGAACAGCCATTTGTCTGAAATGGTATAGGTTTCCTGCTTGAACAGGAGGTTGGTCTAAAAGATCTCCAAGATCCCTTCCAACTCTATTATTCTATATGTGTGATATCGTCATTAAATGCACCTGAAACTGCATAATTATTTTCAGCTTCACACATTCACTAAATACCTACACAGCTGATTTGACACGGAAGATTATTTTACTGAAATACTACAAAGCCTGCTTCAGCAAATGACAACAGGAAGCAATATTGACTATCTCAAAAAAAATTAGGCAGAACTGGACCTGGTTAGAACCTGCATGGAAAATTATCAGGTTTTAAATTAGATTCAGAAATTTTAAAAAATGGTAAATCACTACTATATTGCCAAGAAAATTACATGGATGAACCATGTGGTCACCAGGAGTTGAGCTCAATCTTATCACAAAGTCTACTACATATCCACCTTTATTCATGCTCATTTCCACTTGGTTTAATTTCTCCTATATTTTCCCCAAGTAACAAGATTAAGTTATCTTTTTAAACACCACTGTTTAAAGCCGAGTAACCTTGTTTAAATTTAAATAGTTACCGGGTAAATGTCTTAAGTCAAACCTTTGTTACTTTCTACGTTATATCTATAATCTGAATGTATAATCTTCACGTTGTTCTCAAAGATAACTGAAATTTTGCCCCATTTTATCTTTCTTGACACAGTTGTTAAGTGAATCACTGCAGTTGTTAAGTAACATGGTTGTTAAATAATCTGGTTTCTCAATTTTGCTTGTCAGAAGGGTGGAAGAGATGATCACATGAGCATGTTGCCAGGTGGCTGATTTTTAATCATGTGACCATGGGGCTGCTGCAATAGTCGTGTGAAAACCGACCCTAAGTCACTTTTGTCACAGCCATTGTAACTTTGGTTATTAAATGAATGGTTGTAAGTCAAAGACTAACCAGTCTCTCCTGTTTCTGAATATCAACACTTTTAACTTTAGCCTTTAAACTGCTCAGGAATCATTCTACAAGACTGATCAGTTGTACAATTTCAGCAGATTCTATATTATACTAAAATCATAACATTTCAAACATCCTATAAACTAATGAGGAAACCAGGACCTGATTTTAACATATCCCAATTCTGACGGGATCTCAAGGAATGAACAATTTGAGATATTGTATGAAAAATTAAATGAAAAACATACTGCCTCACATTGCTCCATGATCATATGTGAACATCCCTGCTTAGAGCAGAGAACAAGGCCATAGACTTATACATTATCATATCTTATCAGATTGGAAGTCTCTTTTCTTCTTTAGCCAAAAACTTAAAAAATTCAGTCCAACTTTCCATTTAGTAGCTTTTGCCATGGAAAGTGACAAATACATCTATCAAAGATTCCAGAGTTTCCTGTTATCACAATTACATCTTCATAAAATCAAGGAGATTCTAGGAATATACCATTGTCATAATTAAGGTCTATTAGCTCTTTCACTAATAGAATAGCAAGATATCACAAACTTCACATTCAGTAATCATCTCTGCATCTTTCCTATCAGGATTCTCTTGTTCTTTTAGTTTTTTTCACTGCAAGAGCCATTTCTCCTTTATGCAAGAGAAATCCGACAAAACTGTACTTAAAGAATTCATTCTTCTTTGAAATGCATCGCAAATCTTATCGTATGCACATCATATATGCTGCTCTTTTTAGAACTACTTTGTTATCATTCCATTTCATGCCACATTCTGTAGTTTCTGTACCATCAAATTGTGGGAGCAGTTTTTGTCACACCTCAACATCTAATGTCGCTTATTAAATAAAATGCATTCTTTCTTGACATGTATTCAGAAGTTGGCAAGTGGTGTATCTTCTTGTCGATACAAGTAATCTAACTAAAAACAAGATGTAGATATTCCGCTGTGGAGTATTGTAGCTTTTTGCAGTGTATCATCATCAAGAACTTGCAGACATTTATAAATCAAGTCTATCTCAACCGGCAGTAGTTAGACAGTCGCTTCACTCTTTTTGTTCTTGTGGATTAAAATCTTCAGTCAAATCCTCTAATTTCATTTTGAGAATAGGGTACTAAATTAGTAACCCATTTCTCATTCCAATATAGTGAAAATACTTACCTACCTATTATTTAAAAGTTAAGTTTTTTAGTCGATCAGCGATCCTAGGCTTCTTTACGAATATCTCTGCAGAATTCTCTATACACTTTTTGCTATCAAAACTTTATAGTTATGCAGCACAGTTTAATGGAGTATGTTGTTTTCAGATATTGCAGCCTTGTTTCTCAATTCCATATCTTGCTTCATTATTACGTAATCTTTCTAAATCCGTTTTTCCTGTTCCTTGAGCCAAAAGCACTTTTAAAAGGCAAAAAAAAAAAGATTCCTCGGGATCCAGTGAATCCTGAGCTGGAGGAGCTTCTTCAGCTAGCTGATTCATGTCAGAGATTCCAAGCAGCTTTTCATTTGTTTTCTGATTGCCCACGAGGATTAGCTTCTACCCAATGGTGTGGGGGTTTTTTTTGGATTAGTACAGTAGTTATTGGCAAGATCCAAGGAAGAAATCTCTTAATGCTACATGGCAACCCACAGCTTTCTTCCCTTCCTTACTCACGAGTTGGTATGCAGATAGTCGAACGTGAGTTGAGCGCGCTGCAGGCTGCTGTAGTTGGCGAAGGCCATGATGGCGACGGACGCCCCTCCCCCACCCGCCAAGCCCTTCCTCTGAGGGAAAAGCGGAACACGCCTGCTTTCCCGCCTCTGCTCCCCTCCTCAGAAGCTACCTCTGCCCTTCGCAAAACAGGAGCTTTCCAGCCCAGATTAACATCCTTCGCCCATCGGTGCTCCCGTCCGTTGACCCCCCCCCCCCCCACTTCCCGTCCGTTATCTCCTCAGTTTCAAAGTCAGCGCAGCCCTTCGCTGTCCAATCCGCCGCCCCTCCGCCTCAATTCTTCCACAGCCGTCGGCTTCCTTTCTCTCTCCCCTTCTCTGAGGGAAACGGTTACCTTCGGGCCTCTCCCCCCACCCCTCCTCCCCGACCCCTCGAGGCCGCTCTCATCCGATCCGGCCTCACAACCGCTCCGCTCCTCTTCCCTTCACACAATGCGGCGAGGAGAAAGAGGGGGCGGAGCAACGGCGACAGCGCCCTTCGACGGCGATTGGGGGGCAGCCTGTCACGTGGCCAGCACCCATGGCGCCACGGCAGCGCGAGAGGCAGCTGAGTGGGGAGTGGCGCTTTTACCCTCCTCCTCCCCCGCCCTTTTATTCCTGCCTCAGGTGACCGTTGAAAGCGAGCGGGGAGGGAGGGTGGAGCTGGCGCACGCGCGTGAGGAGCTCGCTCTCGCCCAGCCTGCTGAGGGGGAGAGTGGCGGTTGAGGTGACAGCTTCTCGCCCCGCGAGGGTTCGAAAGGCGGGCATGCGCACGCGTCTCCTCACCCACCCAGCCCCCCGTCGACGCGCTAACGGATCGTCGCCGCCTCCTCCTCCTCCTCCTGCTCCTGCCTGGAGCGCGCGCGGATCCTCAGCTCCCAAAGAAGAAGAAGGAGCCATTTTATTTTCCTCAGAAAGCGCGGCATTTCCACTCCCGAAGATGGCGGCGGGCTGTCTTTTCGATGCGCGCGCGCCGCCGCCGCTGCTCCCTCGCCGGCCGGCTCCTTACTTTTTTTTTCTCTTTTCCCGCGATTTTTCAGGAATTTTAACGTATTCTTAAACCGTCGGTTGTCTTCTTTTGCAAATGGTCTCTCTTATACCGAAGTGCTCCTGGCTTTTGATATACAAGTTGTGTTGACCGTCTTGTCATCGCCTCAGCTTTTTTTCCCCTCGGGGGGATAAAATTAACCGCTATTTAAAAAAAAAAATCCGCGGTTCTCTCTCGCGTCCGGTCATAAATTCGGAGTTGAGGAGGGGGAAAAGGTGGTTGCGATGGTTCTGAAAAGAATAACAGGAGTTTTGAGCTTTTCGGCAATCTTTGCGTTATAATGAACTAATTTGCGGATTCCGTGATACAGTAGCACGATATTGTATGTATTTTTGTGTCTGTGTGTAGAAAATTTTACACACATCAATATTTTTTTTAAAAAAAATGTCAGTTCTTACTCGCCTGCGTTTCTTGGATCACAAAATCGCAAGAATTGTTACTAGATGAATGTTGGCTCAACTAGAGAGTTCAGTATATCATTATGGGAATTTATGATATTTTTAATAGCAGTGTTGACAACTACATTGTTAACGCATTGTAAATGGGCATTGTTAGGTAATGAGAAGTCAAAGTGGAAATTCCATCCATTGTCTGCTATCTGATGCATTCAGGATTCTAATCAAAACAAATTTTTACTATATAACTTACACAGGGGGGTTAGTATTGGTTGCTATTGATATTACTAATTAAGATGGAGAGCAAAAGAAAAGAAATAATTGGCTGTGCTTTGTTTATTTTCATGACTGCATGTGACAGCCTATACATGACCTCTTCTGATCCCCATTACATTGTGTTTTGTTTCTTTATAGGTGATAAAAAGTCAATTTTTAAATGCAGCTTAGCCAACAAGGAACGCATTTCAGTGAAGGCAGTTGGGCTTGGATCTGTGGTTCTTATTTTTTCCAATTTTCTTAATTTTTTGTTAAGAATTTTCTTAATTCTTAAAACTGGGGAGGGGGGGAACCCTTCAGAACACAAATCAGAACATCTGATGTCATTCTCTTAATAAAGCCCTTCAGGAATTTTACTTTTTCGTATTATGGAAGAAATGTTGTTCTTTGTTCATGTGGTTGCTTCCATTCCATTTTTACATCACACAATTTTGATAACTTAGAAGAATAAGGTGAGTTTTAAGTGATTGATCTTGAAGAAAACACCAGAAAGAGTATTGAAACATCAAATCGGATTATTAAAACTGTAACAAGCTTTTAAATTATTCATATATTTATTGGATTCATCACTAAAACTGGATATAAGAATGATTGAAACTTAATATGCTGCCATGCAGCCCTTTATGGACTCAAGCAAGTATGGAAAAGCAGGAAATGAGTTTTTGCTCATTAGAGTTGAACAAATTTGCAAGTTACTGAATACAGTCCTGTTTGTGAGCACTTTTAGGATGTTTCTGATGTGTATTTAAGGGCTGTTTTAGTAATAACCATTAATTTTTTTATGAAGTAAACATGCATATTTCACAAAAATGAAAGTGAATAAATCTGATAATAGCTTTGCAATAAATTTTATTTAGGATATTGAGCTCTGATTATTGGTGTATCATGCAGCATGGAATGATTTTAGGACAGGTATTCTGAATCAGGATTTAAGATTTCTGTAAGCCCAGTGGAAGATTTTGGTTCTTGTACCTGCCCACATTCTCAGTTCATACACATACCGGTAGGTTTTCATTAATGCGCAGTTGATGCAGAATTTGTCTTTTTCACTATTTAACCTGAGAAGCCAGTGAATGTTTTAACCAAAAGTCGGATTCATTTTGAAGGCCATGCATATTAAAGGATATAACATTGTTTTGGCACACTTCGATTTTACAGTGGTTGATTGGTGGTTGCTGGATCTAGAAGATTATGTTGTGATTGCAGTTGATTTAAAATAGTGGGTTAATGGTTTTAAGGTTTTTTTTTAAAAAAAGACAATGACATAATTTATAAGTGCCATTTACTTTCTTGTCAACTGAGACCCCAATAGTCTTGGAATTTCTGATTATGCTGTGTTGTAACATATTCCACTTGGAGATAGATTAGAGGGTAAATTAGAAAGGAAAGCTCAAACTTTATGGGGTTAATGGCCTATTTTTCTTGAATATGAAGACAACTCAGAAGAATGAATAACAAAATGAAAAATAGTACCTTAGGGACAAAGCCATTTGGGAAACTTTCTGCAAGTCATACCTTCTCAATCCTAAGAAACAGGCAAAAATGCACTTAGAAAAACATTGCAGACAGTCAAAAATCTTGCTTACACCATGCCCCTCCTTATCTGAGACTGCTGCTGTGCTCTTGGGCTGTGGGAGACATTAATAGAGGGGAAAGGATAGAGAGGGGAAAGGAGAGTCGGAGGATTAAGAGCCATTTGTCCTGAACGGCATAGGGTCTCCTGCTTGAACAGTGGGTTGGACTAGAAGACCTCCAAGATCCCTTCCAACTCTCTTATTCTGTTAACTTCAGGGACTTGCCCAGGCAGTTCCCAGGAGTCAACAGTTACTTTGAAGGTACACATGTGCACACAGATTGCTAAAACCAATTCTAACTTGTATTCCTTAATACATTTGATGAAACTGCCATGAGACTTATCGTTTTTTACTAAACTGGGGAAACATTTATTTCCTAGTATTTTACTGGTTATATTGTAATTTGTTGTGCACTGCTTAGTCATTGGAATTGGGTGGTATATAAGTTTAATATAGACTGCCTGAAAAGGAATATTCTTTGAACCCCAAGGTGCAATTTTTTAGTATTTGTGACATACAGTCAAGGGATTTTTCTTTGTTTTTCTAGAAATGCTACGTTCAATTAATTATGTCATTTGGTCATAATTGCAACATGTTTATGAATACAATATATAGTCAGCTCTTTCAGTTTTGCATGGTATCGTCTTGCAGTATTGAATGGGTACTCATATGGCATGCTAATAGCAACAGACATATACTGTAGGAAGTTGTGAGAGGCTTTGATATGGTGGATTCACCCCTTCTACTCACATAAATATGCAGATTCAAGGATTTACTATGAATTATACTAATAAGTATATTCCATTTTAAATTTACCCTCTAGATATTTGCATGTGGAAGGAATAGTTAAAATACCCTATGAATTAATTGCCCAGTATAGCGAAAAGAGATCAGATTTAGGCATCTATGAATATATTTCAGTGTATCCTAGGAAAACAAATGTTTGAATTAAAGGAGATTCTGCATGCATGCATCTTTTCAGCCTCTCCTTGTTTCATAGCTTGTCCAGTTACCAGGGAAAGACACATGTTTTTTAAGAAGATGTTGACCACTGTGTCATACTTTCTTGTGCCCACACCATTTTTTTCCAGGTTGATTTCCAAAAGTACAAAACATCTTTACCCTGTTCTTTGCAGGAAAGCAGTGCAGTTCTAGTACATATTCAAATTGCAAATACAATTATTGGTAATTCCATATATGAGTAATTCAGCACATTCTAAATTAAAGTTAATGTCCCTTATTTCTTTAATTACAATTTTCTGAAATTAATATTTAGAATTGTAGTGGATAACTTGAGTCCTCAGTCCCAAATGTGACCTTCCAACCTAATGGGGTTTGGATTTGATTTGCTTGTTCAAATGCTTTTTGGCCAGTGGAACAATATCTGAACAGGATTACTGAAAATAGGTGTTATTGTTTTCTACCCTTTTGAGTTAGGAAGTACTCAAACATTTATATAAAAACTCTTAAAGCTCTTTGCATTTTTGAAATACAAAGTCCTTTCCAAAATTTGACACTAGGAATAAAAAAAATACCCATATTTTTGACACAAAAAATACCCAGGTTTTTGGCAAGTTTATAGAAATGCTTTTTTGTTGTTGTTTGATTTAGCTAATGTTTAGAGGTTCTTTGGTTGAGCTGTTACTGTTGGCTTATTTGGCAATTTCTTGATTGGAGTATTGGGGACTTAACCAAATACACAAAGTTTGAAACACCCAGGATTATGGATCTCATAAACCTTTGCCTAGCCACATTCCTCCAATTTCATGGACGAATTTACCAACAAATTAAAGGTACACCTATAGGATAATCACTTTCAGAATTTATAATGTGGGTCATTATGCAATGGAATCCTTCTTCAAATACAATCGAAAACATGGAACAAATATGTAGATGACATTTTGACCATAATAAAAAAGGACCAACACCCACAAAACTATCAACATCTTGAAAGGAATCCAGTTTACCAAAGAAGAAGAAAAGAACAACTCACAACCCTTTCTGGACATCCTGATCAGCAGAGACTACAATGGTAAACTAGAAACGCAAGTGTACAGAAAAACGACCCATACTATCCAGGTGCTTCATTACCAAAGCAATAACCCAACCTCCCACAAGTGAAGCTGTCTAATAACTTCATTTAGATGAGCACAAATTCACTGCAGCAATCCTGAACAGCATAAAAAGGAAATAGAGCATCTATACAACATCTTCCAACAAAATGGATATTCATTTAATTTTATCAAAAAGTGCCTGACCACTCAACCCAACACAAGCCCTAAAAAGAAGAACACTGGCATACATCAAAAACATTTCAGAAACCACCAACCGCTCCTTATTAGCGCTAATGATGTTACCTAGTTATAAAACATCTGCAAGAAAACTATCACGCTCAAGGAAGCACCAAGGACACGTCATTTCAACCCTGAGCTAGAAATATTTTCCTTTTAAGGATGAACATGTTTACACACATCCCATAAGAGATGTTTGGTTTGCAAACCAACTGTAAGAATTACTCTATAAAATATCTAGTTAAAAGCATACAGCAATAGTGCTTAGATTTCTATACTATTCTATACTTGGTGGTTTATTAGTCAACATATTGCCCCCAACAATCTGGATCCTCATTTTATTGACCTTGAAAGGATGGAAGATGGAGTCAGCCTTGAACCTGGTGAGAATCGAACTGCTGACAATTGGCAGTCAGCAGAATTAGTCTGCAATACAGTATCCTAACCACTGCATTCCACCATATAATTGGAAAAATACCATATATTTATCAATGTAAATAATATAACTATTATAAATTGGCATTTAATAGTGGAATAATATCTGTTTAAAAAGGAAACTGCAATCAAGAAAACACATTACCAGAATTCTCCATTGAGATATGAAGATTGGAGAAAAACAAGAATGCAAAATAATGTGGTGAATGAAGATAAAGTAATTCTATGGCATCTCGGATGTTCTCCGCCAAACATCAACACTTAACAAAACTGAATCAGGTAGAATGGTGGTTACAGAGTTAAGTAGTTGAATGAAAAGCCACTTTCAGTAGATTAAACTCTACAGTTGTTTGAGATGAGACAGAAGATTTTTCAATTTCAACACTCACCTACCTCAGATTGTTATTTCTGGGATCGGAGACAATTTATGGTCAATGTAAACTTTAAAAATCTTCAACTACTATGTCCTGACAGATCTGTCCATTACAATAAGTCTTTTCAAGAACACCTCCAAATCCAGTAAATTATAGCTCAGCAGCACCTCAGTATTTTTAAGCCTCTATTTTGGGGTGAACTGCTTAAGAGGGAAGAAGAGAATATTACAATAAGTATGCTGCCTTGAGATTCTAGAAGAGAGACATGATATAAATATCATTTTTTAAAAACTTCATGGAAAGATTAAGGGATGGTAGAAACTGAAAAAGAAAACTGATTTAAACCATCTGGTGTTCAGAAGAGCAATTATCCCCCTTTCTTCCTCCTGTGATAGTAATAAAGAGAATAGGACTAACCAGAAAATCCAGTTTCCCCTCAACTTTTATCAAATTAAGACATTTTGTTGTCCTAAGGAAACAAAAAGAACCAAGATAAAATGGCATTCCCTCCTATCACAATGTAAATCTGACTAGACTAGCAATTGAGTCTTCTATTAGCAAGAGAAATTTTTATGGCACTTAAGCTGAAGCTAAGGAGAACTGCATCAGTTTTGTCCTTCAAAGTCTGGCTGTCCTTTAACATTCATTCATTCATTCATTCATTCATTCATTCATTCATTCATTCATTTATTTATTTATTTATTTATTTATTTATTTATTTATTTAAATTTCTATACCGCCCTACTCTCGAAGGACTCAGGGCAGTGAACAGCCACAG